CATGAGAAAAATACTGTCCGTGAACCTGTAACAAGCGAAAAAACAATACGTGACGACTGCTAATGTTGACTTCTAGCTTTCGAACCACTGGCAATATTTCCTTAGGGGCTGAACGATGTATTTGATCGAACGGCCTTTCGCAAAATGTGCAATACTATTGGTATGGGGGACTACATTGAAGCATATTGAATTTGTTGAAAACTGCGTAATTTTGGCGAGTGCAGCATTCTATACGCACCCGCGCGCTGTCTGTAATCGGTTTCTCAGTTGTTAGAAACTTGCTATTATATTACAGCAGTACCGCTTAAACTGAAAATGAGATAAAATATGTACCAATAATTGTTTTACTCACCTGGAGGGAAACTTGGGTCTGAAAAACGTAACTGTATTGCTGACACACCGTGTTGCTACTGTTTACTCTCTGACGGTGAAAGGAACAAACGCAACCGACAATAGACGAAACGAACAATAGGTTGCTAAGTGACGATCTACTTACAGCCAATCGCGTCTAGAGATTCATTTGACTATTCGGAAGTATGTTCGGGTTTTCCCGGAATATAAACCGAAGCAGAGAAGCCGACACAGTCGGCGATTTTTATTTCAAAACATTGTGGTTCATCAAAAAATAAACGAAATGAGGTACTGCAGAAAGAAGATGCGTACCCAGAAAATACCATGTGCGTAAGTGTAGTCCTAAATTGACTTTATTTTTGTCATTTTTTGTATAATGTACAAATTATAAATCAGGACACAAAATACTGTGGCTTCCAATGGAAGTTTGATCATTGGGAAGTAAAGGTCCGAGTGCGTTGTTCAGCTGCACCAGAGTTCTATATTTTGTCAGAATACTGGTCTCGCTAAGAGTGTAAAATGGCTGCACTTTACCGTCGGCGTTTAACGGTTGCTGTAACGTAACATAGGATACTCGATGAGCAATCCTCGCACCATTCCCAGAATTCACACCAAAAATAATTTCAATAACCATGCACATTAAAATCAGGCACGTATCAAGATTAAACACCAAAACACTAACAAGAGACTATATGCAAGATTAAATTAAACGTACAACCACTAGTAAATTAGATTAAAAGATAAATAATAGGAGTGCAAGAACATAATCTAATCCTGCAGCCACAAGAGTATGTCATATTTTTGTTTTTATTGCAACTCGTTAAACGACACGAGGGTAGACTCATAGCTTGGTCCATGGGGCTGTGTTAAATTAGCTTCCAAGCGGAAGATAATGTATAAATAATATTAACGATTGTATATGGCACCCACATTCCTGCATTTTTGATGGTACATGTCAAATATAATAACGCACATCATCTGCTGAAAGCCTTCACAGAAACGAGGTCCAACACGTGGGTGATACAGTGCCATTTTACAGTAATTTATGGTAACTGCAATTTGTCAACAAAGATATTGAAAGATAACTACTTGCTAAAAAACCCCTATTCTTAATTAAATTTAATTAGTTTGAAATCCCATGATGAGGTGGCCAAGAAAGACGAGACGGTGTGGTATATGGTTTTCATTCCGAGAGGGAGATTCCATGTATACAAATTACCTTGTATATGGTTTTCATTCCGAGAGGGAGATTCCATGTATGCAAATTACCTTGTATTTGGTTTTCATTCCGAGAGGGAGATTCCATGTATACAAATTACCTTGTATATGGTTTTCATTCCGAGAGGGAGATTCCATGTATACAAATTACCTTGTATTTGGTTTTCATTCCGAGAGGGAGATTCCATGTATACAAATTACCTTGTATTTGGTTTTTTAATAATTACAATTGTCAAATTGTTCATGTTTTCATAATAGTACTCTTGAGACCAGTAGAGTTTTATTGGCACCATGGGATAATATGATATGGTCAATCTGATTATAATAAGACCCTAGTTCGGATTTTTTATTCTAATTTAAAAAAAAATGTTTTTAATTATTTATTTTCATCATACACTTTATTTTACTTTATTTTATTTGAATTTATCATATATTGCTGGCAGTTTTCTAAAAGATTTAGTAATCGCAAAAGCCTGCAGGTACGTGGTAATAGTTAAAGTAATACAGAATAAGAAGAATGTAATAATAATGAAAACAATTACAAAATAATAAAAAATATGGAGTAAAAATAAAATAAAAATATATAATTAAAATTATGCTGTACAATACATCAGATTTTAATCAGATTGTAATATGGTCAGAATGAGCAAATAAATAAATATTTGGAAAAACTTTTCAAATAATAGTGCTAAAGCTAAGAGAAAAATCAAAGAAAGCTTAGAAAGAACTCCCGTGTGCTGAGGGAATAGGGATCATGATGTAATATTCGGGAATATTTGAAAATGATAAACAAATTATGAATAATCTATTAAATAAGAAGCCACCAGTAGCCATATACACACATAGACATCGTATACCTACAATAAGC